ATATATATATTTAATAAGTATTATTATTATTATTATTTTTTTTTTTACAGAACTTTAAAATTACAAAGCTAATATTTATTGCCGTCTTAAATTCTTTGCATTCAAACATCATGCCACGGAGCTTTTATTTTGGCAGAAATCTACAAAAGCTCCTCTTTTGTAGACAGCAGATTTATTTAATGAGATTCTCATTACGAAACAGCGGTTTTTGATGTACAAGTTTGCATTGCAGGTGATTTTAATCAGTCTGAAAAAGAAACTAAAGCCAAGCTGAAACAGGACGGTTTTGTTTGCCAGGATTAGTGTCATCAAATCTTCAAAAGATGCTTTTTTTGATGCACTTTTCAACAAGTAAACTAGATTAAGCCCACGAGTTCGGTTACATCTGTGAAATAAGTGCAGAAACACACGCAGCAGCTCATCTGACTAAAAAAATGTGCAGAACTTCCGGACAGCTGTTGCTTAGCTACCGCCAAACAGTCAAACAATGGAAACCAGGATTCCTCACGGAACATCCCGCTAATATTCCAAAGATCCAGGCCAAGAATCGCCACAAAGCCCTACTCAAAGTCAAGATGCTGAGAGATACGTACGCTTCCTTGAGCTCGGAGAGTTTGGCGGTGAGGCCGGCGATCTCGCCCATGCTGCGCAGGATATCCTCTCGCTCCTTGGGATCTTCGCAGAGATCCGCGATCTTCCTGGCTTCTCCCAGAAGAGCCCTGATGTTCCCCTCCCCCTCCGGACCGCCGTGAGGATCCGCCAGCCAGCTCTGCCGTTCACAAAACACGAGCGTGCTCAAAACACTGCTCAGACCGGAGTGTGATTGGTCCAGACCGAACACAAGCAGCAGGCTCACCTGAGCGGCGTCGATCCTCTTGGCGATGGCTTGTTTGGAGCCGGTCATGGCCTCCAGTTTACGCGCCGCATTTTCCACTTTCCCCGTCAGGACGTCCAGACCCTGAGACACCTGCTGTGCTTTCTGCATGGCCACCGGACTCGCTCCCTGACCCCTGCGCAGGACACACACGTCAAACACTTCACACGTCACAAACATAGCAAGCTTCAAGAAAACAGACAACTGTGGATGAACTTCTGGTGGTGTGTCACTGACGTAATTCCCTCCTCTTTGATAAACAAAGTACTTCAACCTAATTCTTTTTACATTATATTTTATTTAAATATTTACACATACTTTTACTATTGTTTGATAAAAAATAACTGTAAATATTTTAATATTATATTTAATAAACAATATAGAAATAACTATTTTCAATATTTTTTATTAAAATATTAAAACAAATATTTTTAATATTATCTTTGATAAATAAAAATACTTAATTGTAAATGTCAGTATTATTTTTTCTAAAAAAAAACAACAAATATTGAATGACAAATATTTTGAATACGATTTATCATAACATTGCAACGTAAATATTTTTATATTTTTATTTAAAAAAATATTCAAGCATACATTTTTTATATTATTTTTAATTAAAAAGTCTAGATTTAGACATGAGCAGCACAGCAATTTCCCAGCAGAGATAGAAAATGGGGTTTAAGAGGATTATGGGTAATATCGGACCGCTGCTTTTAATCAGACGACCGGGAAGAAAACCTGATGTGATCTATGAGTCAGGTTTTCTCAGATGTAAACGGTCGTTTGGGTGACCTATCACTGACAGTGATTGATCAACACGGATATTATAATGTTTATAAATGTATATAAAAATACATTAATCATTACGCCATCATATATTATACATTCATATATATAATTATACAATCATATATATATACACACACACACACACACACACACACACACACA